AGAGACACAGATGGAAAGTGAGAGAAAGACAGAGAGAGAAAGTTGGCTCAGTGGCCTTGCCATCTGTCCATTAATCAAGTTGCCACATGGGCTCTCTCTCTCTCTACTTTCTCTCCCTCTCACACACACACACACACACTTCCAGCAGTACTGAATTAGCAGAGAGAAGGACATTTGACTTTTTGGTTTGGACGATAATTCCATTTTATAATTGTATGGTGGATTGATTTCCACTCTCCATCCTCCCTCTTGATCCTCTTTATAACTTCTGTGATGAAACAGTGTTTCCAGGACACACCCACACGTGTGTCCCCAGCTAAAACAGACACATCTATCATTACCGTTATGGACAGGAGGGACTGTTCTCAGTAAGTCGTCTGCCTCTCACTCTTATTAAACTCCACTGCATGTAAAGGTCATGTGTGAGGACGACATTCTTTCAGTTGTATCACTTTAATTTGGAATCAACCTAATTGAAAGAGTGGAAGCTGAAAATATTAGACTCTCTCCTTGATGGCTGGAAACTATTTATGTACTGAATGTTAGTATTTTAAAAACAAAAGGCACATTTTTCTCTCTTGCCTTGAGGCTATTTGTCATGTCTGGAATTTCACATATCAGGCTTAATGGTTGCTACACTTTATATTCCGAGTATTTCAGATACGCATCTGCCAACAAAACTCTCTCTTGTCTCTAGTTTTACTCGTGTACACTTTGAGTTCACTCTGAGTTTTTACTGTGTTTTTTTTTTTTGTGTAATAATGATTTCTCCTGTGTGAATCTGGCAAAGCAGCTCAGACCTAGTCTTCATCCATCCTCAGTGTGTGTGTTTAGGGATTTATTGGATTTTTGGTGATGCATGTCTTATACTGCAGGGATAACATGCTGAATGACAATGATACACACAGAACGGTGTGTGTATCATCTTGTGTATAGACTGTATATCTTTGCCACAAGTTGCTGCACTCAGTTGCCGGGTAGGAAATCACACATTGAAATAATTTTTTTATTAATTGGGTACTTGCTGGAATTAATTTCCGTACCTTAAAACGACAGAGTTTCTACTCAAGAGGATTAGGCTTAATGTATATGAAGGATGAAACCACAAACATAAAGTACTGACTGAGTTCTTTAGAGTAATACTGCAGGTCGTGTCTCTCAGCTCCTTCGTCACACACACACACACATGGAGGACAGAAGAATGAGAGAACAGCGGTGTAATGCCTTTTAAGTTAAAGTGTGTGTCACCAGCCCGTAGTCTGAGTCCTAGTGAAGGGACATATGACAAATGAGTTTGGCATTTAAGAAGACAGACTCCTTCTATATCTGGGTCCTGTTTGTACGTGAGTCTCTGTGTACGTGCATGTGGTGAATCAGAGACTAAAGTGGCGGGAGATGAAAAAAAAAGACTCTTTCAGGAAGCTAGAAAAGGAAATGTCATTATTATTATTATTATTATTATAGTACATATTATTATATATAGTGAGGGCTGTACTATGGGTAAGTGGTTAGTCTTGTCACCTCACAGCAAGAACGTCAGTGTTTCACACCTCGCCTTGGCTTTTATTGAGTAGGTTTGCATGGTACTGCCATTCATCAAAAAAAATAAAAAAATAAAAAAATTTAATTCTTACCTTTACAGACAGGTCTGTGGTCACTCCAGGCTGCAAAAACCTCGGCCACTCTCTGACAACTGATGGTTTTACTGCCCTGGAGGACGTAGTCTTCTCCACAGCTGAACTGAACCACAGCACCGATGCTGGAAAGACACAAAGAATGATGAAGTTAGTGTTAGTGTTGTATGTTCATACTCACACACTGCATGTTCGTAAATGTAAACTGTGGTACCTGAAGTCGTTTCCATGGCGTTTTCCATTCTCTGGCTCTCCTGGATCAGGACAGGAGTTCGACGCCTGTCTCACACCGCCTTCATTTACTACACAGAGGGACAGACAGGTGATAGATAAGGGACCAAAAGAAGCATGAGGAAGAGCCTACAATTTATAAACAGCCAACATGCACCTGTTTTGACTATTAGTATTACATTTCTAACTATCTTTTGGCCATCATTTATATAAGTATTTTGGTAAACGTTTAGCCAAAAGTGCTTGTTTTATTTATGGCTTCCCATTAAAAGTCTCTTTTACTAACAGCTGTGTTTGGGTCAACCCTTAGTTACTGACTGCAATGTCAGGAACTGCAGCACATGGAGATGATAAAATGCAGTGAAAGACATTCAGTAAGTTTTCCTTGAGTCATATTTGAAGTCTGCTCAAACTCTTCTTGTTATCTTTCTAAAGACATTAAATGTAGTTCACTTGAAGGTTCCCTTAGCCGTGATGGACAGGTGGAGGTGTCAGAGAGAAAACACTCCAGACAGGTTGGACAGACAGAGTACAGTACAGACAGACAGACGAGGAGAAGTCACCGCTCCAGATGTGATCTTTCATCTGAACTAAACTCGACAGCAACACCTCAGAAATCACAGCCAAACTGACAGAACATCAAAAGACGTTCACGCCGTAGCTGCAGCGATGTGACAATTTCTGTCTGTAATTAAAATAATTCCGCTGACACATTCAGTTCAATGTTTTTGTTGTGCGTCTACTTGTCTTTACACTTTTCTCAACTCTTTTTATTCCATATGACTAACCCTCACAGCTGCTTTTCATTGGCTTTTCTTTAGAGACTCTGCAGCTAAAGTTTTCTTTTTTATTATTTACATAAAGTCCTGCCTTTTAGATGCTCCTTCTGTCTTTCTGTCTTTGTTTTGAACTGGTAATACAACTTTTGGGAACAAAGCTGCTGGGTTAACTCTGTGGACAGTGTTTGAGCACAGAGATGGAAAAAAAAGGCTCAAGAATCTCCGCTCGACTAAAAAACCCCAAATAACTATCGCTGTCAGGTAAAAGAAAGAACACAAAACACCAAAACTTTGCTCTAAGTTTTAAAACTTAACTACAGTGTGTGATACTGTTTCTTAATGAGCCTCAGCAGCACACGAATGACCTATTTCTCCTTTTTTTTTTTTTTTTTACTTTTAGCCCAAATAACAGGATCTATTGTAGCTTTTAATGAGATAAAGCTAAGAGTGATATACTACTTTACTTTTTCTTTAACTTCCTTTCACACCAGTGAAAGTAAAATGAGGCCACAGTGTGTGTTTTTTTTGTCCTCTTCCCTCCAAGTCTAGTGTCAGTGATTATGACTATAGGCAGAAACTGTCAGGCTGTTTTTATTTACTTCAGTCAGGGTTAGAACTAAGGAGACAGTGAAGTATTTTGATGTTTAAATGAACTGACTGCTGTCAAATGAACTCTAATCACTGATCAAGAACTTTGAAATTTCATATTCACTTTGTTCTTTGATGCAACCACCTCACTCTGTCTAAATGCTATAGTTTGTTAATGACTTCTATGACTCGACCTGTTTGACAGAATTCAGACGGTTTAACCATAAGACTGTCCTCTAAAAATATGTCATTTTGAATATTTATTATATTAGTAATTTTTGTGATATTTTACTGGCTCATTTTTGGATAACTACCAAAGTAGAGTACTTTAAAAAAATGCCAAAATTTTTTTTTACAACATCAATATTACATTATTTATGTGTGTGTAAATTATGTTTTACAACATCAATAATACATTATTTATGTGTGTGTAAATTATGCATCGTACAGACTATAGTTCCAGAAGTTTTATAGGTCAATCTTTGTCCATTGTCTTTAATTAATGTTTTCTGGCAGATTTTTATTCGACAATAAATGTGGACAAAAACACCGAGGAACTAAAGTTCGATTTTTATCTTTTGTCAAACAGAAGTGCTGATGCCAGGGAATTCAATAAGGCGTAACAAACAAAGGCTGAGTGATTTCTGTTGCCCTCGCACAACCGCCTTCCCACTCAGTCTGTCTGACTAACATGCATGTACATGTTCAGTGTCTATCAGCAGACCCAGCAGGTGTGTGTTTGTGCGAGTGTGTTAGAGGAGGCAGTTTGTTGCTTTGTTGGAGCGACTAATTTGACCATCTGGGCTTTTCACACCAACAACAGAGGGACTGGTTACAGTATTAGTAGTAGAAACACACACATCGATGAATGACACAAAAGTTAAAATCAGGAAAACGTCACGCAAACACTGACAATAAAAACAACCAAATATAAAAAACACACACACACAACAGCTACGTACACTTTTAAACAGTCAGAAAAGACAGTTAAAAAAGAAGATCAGAACCAATGACGACCTCCCTCATAAACACACAGATTCACATCTGTGGAATCAACCCTCAAACGACGACTCTCCAACCTGATGAATGTGTAATGCGGCGTGTCCCTGTGCCTGGGCTCAGCCCATCAATTTTCCATCAGCTTATACAGTATTTAGCGGGTCGGCATATAAACATATGGTCACACAGACAACAACAAGGACGAGCAAAATAAATCAGGCACATAAAGGAGAGCCATAATTGCAAGCTAGCAAAGCATCAATGTGGACGAGCGGAATCAGCTCATTTACGTTGGTGACTGTATTTGCGCATGTCTAGGTAGGTGTGTGTGTGTGTAATGTATGTGGGGTAAACTGTATATTTATCTGATGTGTGTGTAATATATGTGGGGTAAACTGTATATTTATCTGTAGCACCAAAAAATAATCTACGGTTCATGAGTAACAGTAATGTTTGTGAGAGTAGAAAAGAGAGACAGCAACCAGAAGAGGTTATTCTAAAGAAAAAGTGGAAAAGATCCTGCCGCCCCGACACCTCCCATATACAGTATGATTGTAAAATACAGAAGTATCGTCAGGTTTACTCTACTGCACGCAGTTCTGATGAATGTGAATCTGAGCTTTTTATTTCCTCGGGACTTTAATCATAGTCTTTGTCTTTTAAAATCCCCCAAAAAACAAATTTCATCTACTTTGACAATTCTGATTTTCCAACAAAAAACCATCATATGTTAATCCTTGTGTGTGTGTGTGTGTATGGGTATGTATATGAGTATATATAGGACTGAATCTAATAAAGAATATGCATCTGTACGAATATAGTAAAACTACAATCAGGAGTGAACTTTTACTGAACTTAAAGAAAGTGTTTTAATCTAAACATACCAACCTCAACTGCAGATCTAAGGTTGTTTTTATGAACGTCAGTATTGGTACACTGAATTATACTGGGCTAGATTAAACCAGACCTACAGGTAGGTCTGAGTAGAGCAGACAGGAAGAGAGCAGGACAGGAGATAGGAGAGCGTTGGAGACGGGTGATTAACAATAATCTAAAAATAATGTATAAAAGCTCATTCAGTTTCTTTTTAACAAGGCCAAACTTTGATTGATCTCATCAACTGAACAAATAATAAAGGCAAGTCATGGAGGAGAACATGCAACATAAAGCAGGACGCAATGATCAACCTCACATATACAAAACAACAGACAGGCGACAGGAAGGACGGACAGCAGGACTGTGCTCTTAGAAAGGCTGTAATGTCTCCAACACCATCGTTTCTCTAATAGATTCAGAAGAGTGAATGTTTGTTCTATGTGTCTTTGAGTTACGACAGGTTTTTGTACAATATGTTCTCCAGATGAAGACAAAAGCGTTGGGAGACAACAGCCTTTTTAAGGGACAAAAATAACAACAAACGAAGCAGATCACAGCCAAACAAAACCATCACACGTTAGTCCATTAGCCAAAAAAGTGACATTAAATGTGAACTCACATATTGAAAACTTGTTGCCGGAGTCTTTGCCAGGGAATAATTTAACGCCCCGTGATTTAAAATCTACTGATCGCTTCACTGCGGAGGAGAACAGATCACAGAAAAAAGGAGAAGTAACGTAAGAAAACAGCTTGTATAAATCGATGATATATGTTAGCAAAAAAAAGAAAGAAAGAAAGAAGAAGCTAAGTTCTTTTCCCTCACATCTCTGAGAGAGGGAAGAGTACAGCACAGCAGTGAAGGGAACTTAGAAAAAAAGGCAAAGGAAAATTGAAAAATGGTGGAAGAGACAGATAAGAGACAGGGAGGAGAAAAGCCAAAGCAGAGGAGAAAGTGTTTGACCATCCAGAATTTGGTGTTTATTACAGATGTTCAATCTTTCATCTGGTTGTCAGTGAGAAACATATATCAGACGGTCTTTTGTTCCGCTGGAAACTGCCCTCACACACACAGCAGATTCCAAACAAAGTTGAAAAAAAGAAAAAGGTTGCAGCTTTAATCAGAACGTCAACGATGCATCTCTGTAATCACAGCCTTTAGTCCACCACTGGGTGTGAGCTGAGAAATGAAGGGAGGCTTTAATGAGAGGGAATCAAAGAGAAAACGAAGAAGAAAAAACAGAAAGAATCCAGTGAACAGGAGCCTTTTGTTAATCTGCGAGACAAGACTTTAAACCATCACTGGTGCTGAGGTCAATATTTAAGGAGCAAACTGAGTGGATTGTGTAAAGGTAACTGTCTCGATGGTGATACAGTGATCAGAAGTGTGTCCTCAGAGCCAGAAGGTCACCGGTTCATACTATACATTTGACAGCTATCTTCCAAAAAGATAAAATATTTTGGTGCTTGTAAAAATAAAGTTTCTAGGACTAGTATTTGTCCGATCACGACAGGAGAACAAAAGCGTAACAGATATACGTTGATTACAATCACAGCAAACGGTTAGCAAGAAAATAATTCTTGCTTGTTATTACTAAAGAACAGTTGACCACAAATGAGCAAAATTAAATAAAAAAAAAACACAAAACAGCTTGGACTTCGCAAATAATGCGAATAATAAAATGTGGTCCATTAAATCCAAAAATTAGACACTAAATTTCCTGTTATTTAAACCAGCCATAAAGATACCCTCATGTAGGACTTAAGTGTGAGATAAAGAGCCACAAATTGGAGAAAAATAATTATAAATAATTAATGTAGATCCATCCAGT